GCTCCTCACAGGACTTGTTCTCCAGACCCTTCACCAGCCTCGTTGCCCTTCTCTGGACACGCTCCAGCACCTCAACGTCCTTCTTGTAGTGAGGGGCCCAAAACTGAACACAGTATTCGAGGTGCGGCCTCACCAGTGCCGAGTACAGGGGCACGATCACTGCCCTGCTCCTGCTGGCCACGCTATTTCTGATACAGGCCAGGATGCCATTGGCCTTCTTGGCCGCCTGGGCACACTGCCGGCTCATGTTCAGCCGGCTGTCGACCAACACCCCCAGGTCCTTTTCCGCCAGGCAGCTTTCCAGCCACTCTTCCCCAAGCCTGTAGCGCTGCATGGGGTTGTTGTAGCCGAACATGAGGCCACAAAACAGCCACAAAACAGCAATCCCACTGAGGACAAAGCCAGCAGAGCAATGGGCATGGAGATCAGTCTCAGCTAGGAGTGAGTCAGCACACAGCACAGGCCTACTGAATCATGATGCCCCCACCAGTGAGAATGGCCCACAGAGATCCTCACATTCCTCACTGATGTAAGTGGCCACATGAGTGACAAACTGGCCTCAGGCCAGTGATCTGTAATAGGGCTTGTCATGCCCCAGAGCCTCTACAATAGCCAAAAACAGTCCCAGCTTCAGTAACAATCTGAACAGGACATTCCCCACCTTTCTGAAACAGCTGGGTGTGTTCCTACACATGCAGATTTCTCAGTGCCATTAATATATTGGTGTTTGACTCCACCCTACTGAAAATACCTGAGTGTCAGCTCCACAGAAATGAGAAAAAGAAACCAAACACACAAACCAAACGTCTACAGGGCTCAGACATACTAACCTAAGGAATAGCTAGAGATGATGGGAAAGTCTGTAAGGAAGCAATAAGAAAGATTAAACCCCCTCCCCTGAGAAAAGCAGCAACTATTTAGAAACCAAACACACAAACCAAACGTCTACAGGGCTCAGACATACTAACCTAAGGAATAGCTAGAGATGATGGGAAAGTCTGTAAGGAAGCAATAAGAAAGATTAAACCCCTCCCCTGAGAAAAGCAGCAACTATTTCGTGAAAGCACAAGATGAATAGAAGGTGAATACAGAACTTACGAGTATTGGCCTAGGGAAGAGGTGGCCTGGGTCAGAAGCAAGCTACCTGTTGCCTTGACCCCAAGACCAACTCGAGAGAGAAATTAAAAGCAGAACAAAGGTGGTACCCTTAGCTAGCACCTTCCCCAAAGCATCTGCCTCCCAGCACCTGGGAGTGAGGAGTACAGCTTCTGATGACCTATGCTAAAAACCAATGCTCTTCATTAATCAGTTGAGCCCATGCAATAATTAGCATTTAAGAGACTCCCTGACCTGTGCTCACTAAAGCTTATGTAGCCCCACAGGTGTTCCCAGCTCTCCCCATCCCCTTACAGACCTGCAGAAGGAAAGATCCCTCTCTGTGTGGGTCCAATCTTCCCACCTCCTTTCATGCGTCCAGTCAGACTCTCCCTGCTCTCCATATCCTGCATCAAGTAAAAACAGTTATCTGAGCTCAGAGAGATAGACTTCACGGAGGGAGAGCCATCCAAAGGCATATCTGAGCTGAGCAGAGGCAGAGTGAATAGGCAGAGGCATGCTTGAGGGAGTCATGGGGACAGGAGAGCTGCAGAGAGAAAGTAAGAGGGAACCATCAAGGGACTTACTGATACTCTGGAGCCTTGATGCAGCACAGTGCTGAAGAGATCATCCACATAGTGATCCAAGCCTACAGGGCTCCTCAGGTCATCTCCGAATCTTGGATCTAAGAGCAGAGAGAAGTCTGGTGACAAGGCAGGCAAGGAACATTCCCCTGTCTCCAGTTCCTATTAGACAGTCATGTTTTGGAGTGGAGCCCTTCCTCACTCTACATCAAGAAGAATCACCTCTCTCCCCCTCTGCTCCGATTCCCTGGCTGGGGCCCATCTGGCCCTTCCCAGTGCCATCCACAGTCCTGGGCAAGAGCTTACCTGCATGGAGATTGTTGAATTCTGGACTCAAGCTAGGTGGTGGGAAGGTAGGGGCCCGGATGCCTGGAGCAGGAGGGATCCTGTTGAAGAGGAAAATGAGATGAGGACAGAACAGTGCTGAGAGAAAGATGAGCCACGGGGTGACAGGGCCGCAAGTGATGGGGCAGGAGGATTAGGTGACTTACGAATCCAGGTCAGAGTTCTGGAGGAAGCTTCTCTCCCTTTCAGAAGTGATGGGGTACTCAGCTGAGGACTGAGAGGGGCTGCTGAGGTTGCTGGCCTCCTCCATCTCTCCAATGAGGTCCAGTACAAAGTCACAGCCCAGGAGGTCCTGCCACGTGTTGCCAGTAAACATAGAGATAGACCACCCTCGAGACTTCTTATCGCAGCCCCTGGTAACAGGGAAAGGAAGGAGAGAAAAGGTGTCCAGGTAGGCAGGGGAAAGGGAGAGAAAGGAAAACATCACATTCAGTTTCTTCTTGCCTTGTCTATCCTGGCTTAAGTCCTTAAGATTTAGGGTGTGAATCAACTATTAAGTGCCCAGGGTCAGGAAAAAAAAAGCTAGAATCACTCAAGATCTGTCCTTTTTTTTTTCCACCCCCATCTTTTCTGTGAAGCTGCTCTGACAGATCACGCCAGTGATTCCTCTGTTCCTAAAGAGGCCCACAGTTTATGCACACAGATGGAAGGGTGAAGGAGAGAGCCCAAGCCGGAGTGGGTAAGGAGTGGCCGTTCCACATCTGACCATATAAATTCTAGCCTGCAGCCCCGACCAGTCTGAACCTTAGAACTAGTGACTGCCTCTTTCACACCCCCAGATCTTCTCCCATCCTCTGGCAGTACCTTGCACTCAGGAGCCAGCCTGCATACTGCTCCCCAGTCATCCAGGACTCCACCTCAGCTGAGATCTTCTCCTCTAGCACAGAAAAGAAAGTCGGTACACACGGCCTCCCTGGCAGGACCTAAAGCAACTCCTAAGCTCTGCAGGACACAGGCAGAGCCCAGCTGGAAAGCCTTACACACTCCTGAGGGGGGGCCACAGGAGGACTGAAAGCACATGGAGGGCTCCACATGAACACATTCACATCCAAAGTAACTGATGGCACAGGTTGGCATTTCCAACCTGACAGCTGAAAACCCTCGCAGTGTCCTGGTTCACTTGGGCCACCACTCCACTCACCAAGGAGCCAGAGCAGGGATGTTCTCCATTAAATTCACAGAGCTTCTGAGCACTCAAGAAGCAGCATAAGCCAATATTTGAGAAGGGAGAAAGGCAGAAAGTCCCTGTAACAAAGGCAGCAGTTGCTGCTGCCTGGGCTATGCAATAATGGATAACAGGAAAACTAGACCCACAGATGCACAACCAGAACAGTCCTCTGTTGAGATGGGCCCAAACTCAGAAGAATGTCATCCCCCAGCCTGAGTAGCAGGTCTGAGCTCATCAGGCTCAGACTTTGGGAGTTTTGGGTCTAGATTCAGATGCTTGTATCCCCCCATGCTTGTACCAGCCAGAAGGAATTGGTGTTCTGATCCCTCTTTACCCAGCTGAGGGAAGTATTTTCTGATTGCTGATTTCTGCACTGGAGAAGTCCTTAGGGACTAGAAGATAGCAGAAGGGCAGAAGCACGCATTACCATTAAAGGTATGAACATCAAGAACCATCTTCCCTCTCCTCTGGTTTGCAGTCCACTCCAGCTGAGTGGGAGGGTAGGCCCGAGAGAACGTAGAGTCCATCTCTGTGTGCTGTGCTGCTGCCAAGATCTTGCGCTGGCAAACAGCGTTGTAGCCCTCCATGCCATGATCTGACACAAATCTAGGAAAAGGCAACTGCCTTTAGCACACTGCTCATCTCTCTCAACCTTAATGAAAGTGTAGCTAGGTCTTTCCTCCTCCTTACTTCAGCAACGGCTTCTCCAGTGCTGGTGAAGGGGCAAAGCAGCTCAGCAAAGTTGCCATCAGGACCCAAGCTCGCTGGCTGTGCTCCATGTCTGCGTTCTTCCATGTCTGTGCAACTACCTGACTGAAGATTTCATTGCGCAGGGCCATGTTATTCAAACCTCTCCCAGCAATGTAGTTGCCCAGAAGTATCTGCTGCCAGCCATGGAGATTCTTGTCACCAATGAACCGCAAAATCTAGAAACATCCAGGGGACAAAAAAAAAAAAAAAAAAAAAAAAAAAAAAAAAAAAAAGAGAGCTCTAGCTGTAACCCTCTGTCCCAAACTGTGTTGTGAGGTGACAACCTGGGTTGTAGACACCAGGATGTTTGTGAGCCTAAGAAGAGTAGCCAACACTGAGATCAGGATCTGTTCTCAAGTTTTGTGTATCACCTAAGTTCTGGGGAATTTGGGACGCAGTGTTCATAAAGATTGGACCCTGACTAAAAGTCAGGACGACGTCAGTCTCTTCTTAGTTATGCCTCTGACTTAGAATTTGTTCTTGGGCAAAATACTTCCCCTTCTTTGGCAGGGCTCAGATAGCCTACAGTAACTTGCTTGTGTATTTGTTACTGTGTCTGAGCCCACAGGCTTCCTAGCTGTAAAAAGATGTAAAAGAAATTGATGCTTAGCTGATCTTTGTGAAGAGAGCCAGATGTGAGGAAACACTAACAACTGAATGTTAAAAAGACTTTGGTGTAGTTAATATTATACCAAGTAGTATGAGATGTGGTATCTCAACCAAATCACTTAAGCAACGATTCAGCTTCTTGGCTATGCCTATCAATATCTTAGATGCTTTTGTAATTTGTACTTCTCACCCTTAGGTACAGAATAATTTCTTTCAGCCTCTACACTTCAATATGTCATTAGATGAAAATTTTTCTAAAATGTGTCATGGACAGCTTTGGAAAGAACATTTATGAGTGATGGCCTGTTTTTTTTCTCTCAGAGAACACCACTTCTTAAAATGGTTAATGGTAGTAAGCGTGTCAGAGATTCACTGAGAAAAACAGGAGGTGGTGGTTGTTTAGTTCTCATGGAATTCTTTGTAGTAAATCCCTATTTTTTTTGATTAGCAATGGAGAAAAATTATTTTTGATCTTCAGGAAAAATAATAGTAGTCTGCTTAAACACAACCCAATTCACAAGATTTTATTGAAGCTTATGCTCTCCTATAATTGGGATCATTAGGACAAAACAAGAAACTGGTTTTAGCTATTACCTTTCCCAACAGGCTTATTTTAATTACATGTAATTCTCAAAAGGATTACCAGATTTACTTAGAAATTATCTGAAGTTTCTTTCTATTTTCAGAGAGTCAACATTACCATTTTTAAGAAGAACTGTATGTTTCACATCCACAGAGATGAAACAACATCATCCCCCTCACACAAACACTACAGAATTAGGGTGTGGTTCCAGGTGTAGTTTTCTTGATGACAAAGTCCCTGCCTTTTTCCAGCCTTTATACAACAGTTCACTGTCCCCTGCTGTGTACTGACGCAACTGTATGCCTGAGATACAATCAATATGTTTACTATAAACCACATCATGGAAGAGCTCTGGGTTAAATTAAACTTTTTTTATGACCGACAGATAAGAATAAGTGCTTGAGAAGACAGATCGCCCTTACACTGTCATTGCTACTGAATCTGGAATACTGGGAAACTAAGGCTTAGCAGTCCAATTCCTACATGTCCTGCCAAATTCAGAGGCTACATCACCAGGCAATTCACTTTGATCCCATTGGTCTATGGCTGGTCTATCCCCCACCAAGAACACAGCAACCCTAAGGGGCTGCATGTGATCTCTGCCAGACTGCTCCAGTGCCTAGAAGGAGCAATTTATTCTGCTCTCCTAACACATCATGTATTGTAAGAACAGTAGCCACCACCAGCATCTTGTTGTACGATGGCATCAAAACATTGTCTTATGCCCACCTGTTCTTCAATAAGGCCCTGGTCAAGAAAGATGTCTCTTACCAGTTTGTTGATCTCAAGCGCGCTCTCCTGGTATTCAGCATCCAGATGGGTTAAGGGGTGCTGCAGGGGCTGACCAGGGGCAGGGAAATCTGTCTTCTACAAAGAAACAAAAGGACAGAAACAGTTTGTTCCTGGTGTTACTAGAACTGGTGTTTTTCCCCAGTGGGAGAGCAATGAAGAGATATAAAAAGAGTTCCCACCTGGAAGTGTGACTTAACGAAGGAGGAGAAAGGATAGCTGTTGATGGTGGGTGGGAGGGAAAGGTCATCTTTGACTTTGACTTCTGGAGGCAATGCCTCAGCTATCTGGCTGGCCTGTGCTCGGTACTGACCTGCAAGAGAAAGAGGTCTTGTGTTGTAGCAGTTGGGAAGGCAGCCAGAACACATCCAACTCACAGTGCTAACATGCATCTAACCTTGCCTGAGCACCTGTAACAGCCCCCTGGCTCCAGGGACACCCAGGCCACCCCTGCTGCCCTAAACCCCCAAGCAGGCACATCCTCACTTCCTTGAGACCACAAGGCCTAACTTCAGGAGAGAGCTTTTACAGCTCTGATCTTTCAGACTCTTATCCCTGGGTAACACCCAGAGGGCAGTCAGCACCTGGGATTTCAATTCTGTGATGCAGAGTTTACAAGGCAGTTTACAACGCTGAGCCCATGCAGAGATACTGCTGACAACTGTTCAGTCAACAAGTAAATGAGAAGTCTTCACAATGAGGCACTGGATGAGGGATTTATCGTGGATAATAGAGGAGCAAACATCTTCCTAAATGAAGAGATTTCTCAATGCAGCACAGCTTCTGTGCATTCGTCTATCTCCAAACCAATGGGTCCCCTGATGCTCTCCTCCTCCTCCTCCCTGTTTACATCCCATCAGCTTTCATCTTCAGCAGTTTCAGTGCAGTTTGTCCCCTGAGCTCCTCCAGGTAACATTGCTCACTAGACCAGCTGATAGTCCCTACAGAGGAATGCCATGAAGTATGGGGTATTTGGGAATCCAGCACAATTCACAAGACTCTTCTGCCTGATTGTATCTTTTACTGTACTATACAGAAGGTCGACGATACAGCTGTCATTATGTTGGTATAGCATCTAACAAAAAGAGGCAAATCCTGACTCAACCTATTTCAACTTAAATATATACATTGTACAAGTTACAGAGGAAACAAAACTGCAAATAACAATGCTCAAGATCAGGTCAACAACTTGGGAAATTATTTCAGTTAGTGGTATTTTGGTGATTTGAAAACAAACCAAAAAATTTTCCATCCCAAGCAAAACGTTTCCCTCAATTGTTACATCCTTAAGTTGTTACATACAAAATAGAAGCCTACTTCTATTTTAAAAGAAATAATTACTTTTGAACAAGTAAGTTTTAATGAAAACCCAAAAATTTTTTTTTGAAAGTGCCAAAAATGTAGTTTTCACTTCTTCACCTTCAATTTCCTTAAAGATTTTTGAGTAGAAAAAAAGATGGGTTTAAGTTCTCACACACCAGATACTCAGCTCTGCAAGAGACCCGGGTTCATTAAACAGTTTGCCGTCACATAGCTTTGACCAAAGAGTTTTGCACCATCACTGTCATCAGTTCTATCAGCACAGTTCAAAAGAGCTGAAAAGGTAACAAAGATACTGAATTTTAATCTGGTGTTCTGCCCACTGGCCCAAGTCGCTTTTCTGCCCTGCCGTGTTGGGAAACAATATAGACAACACCATTTGCCTTTATCATATTTACACTGCAATAATAATAAATCAAATACAACCCAGATGCCAGCAGGTAGAACAAGCACGTACTTAAACTGCTAGAAAACAAGCAAATAAACAGTAAAGTAAAACGGTGCAGGAAAGGGAGGGAAGGAGGGAGGATTTCTCACCTTCAGCTAACTGCAGGAGGGCAGCAAGCTCTGCAGGGATCTCCAGCAGTCCCACATCCTGCAGAGAGAGTGAGCGAGTCAGTCAGTCACTGGGGTGCCAAAGTGAAACAACATAAAAACCCTAAGCTGTTCTGTTGAGACTGGGTAAAGTTGCCTTTGAAAAGCTGGCCAGAACGAGGACTGAGCATCTGAGCAAAATCAGTAATTTCTGCCTATGCAACATTCAGAAACATTACAAGTAGGGAAGTATCATATTAACACAGGTAATATGACATGGGCCAGCAAATGAAGAACTGCCACAGGGGGAAGTAACAGGAAAGTTGACTTTCTTTGACTCATCTCTCATTATTAACAGGTTTGGCATATTGTACAGAAGAGATTGCGGTGAAGGGTAAGGGCCATTTCCTCCTGCTCCTTTTTCTTTCATTTTTATTTTTCAGTATCCAAGAGTGCTACAGCGTAAATAAAGAGAGACCTGATTCTGATCTTTGATGCACGCCACTATTTTGGAGGTTCCTAAGGAAGCTCAGATCTGTACCTGGGTAATTTAGATGAGAATCTGGCCAATGAGCCTTGATTTTTCACTGTTTTGCACCTTGCATGATGCATGCGTTTGTGCAAGGTAGGAAGTAAATGGGACAATGCAACACAATGTATCAGCATGAATGTCTGCATATAATGTCAGTTCAGGGTATTTCAGACAGGACTACTCAGATTAAGACACTATGAAACCAAGCCAAAGGCACAAAGCCTGAGCTTTTGTTTGGGGTTTTTTTTGTTTTTTGTTTTTTTAAGATCTGCATAGTAAAGCCTCTACTCAACAGCATACTTCTGACATCTGATTCTGATCTTTGATGCACGCCACTATTTTGGAGGTTCCTAAGGAAGCTCAGATCTGTACCTGGGTAATTTAGATGAGAATCTGGCCAATGAGCCTTGATTTTTCACTGTTTTGCACCTTGCATGATGCATGCGTTTGTGCAAGGTAGGAAGTAAATGGGACAATGCAACACAATGTATCAGCATGAATGTCTGCATATAATGTCAGTTCAGGGTATTTCAGACAGGACTACTCAGATTAAGACACTATGAAACCAAGCCAAAGGCACAAAGCCTGAGCTTTTGTTTGGGTTTTTTTTTGTTTTTTGTTTTTTTTAAGATCTGCATAGTAAAGCCTCTACTCAACAGCATACTATTCTGACATCTCCCTCCACATAAACTCTCAGCAATGCCTAAAGATAGATTCACACCTTTTTTGATCAGTTTGATTTTGCTCATAGTAAGATACTTGACTTTAAATTTAGCTTTTCAATGGCGTATTCAGGAAGTGGACTGTGAAATTCCAGAGTCCTGAATCCACACCTGAGGAAGCAGGTGATATTGCAAGAGCACCCAGTGCTAAGTATTCCTGTTGGTGTTACTGACAGATCTGTGCAAAACTGTGGATGACGTCAATTCAGATTTCCTTGCTACACACATCATAGCAAATGTATGCCCGGTCTAAACATACAAATAATGACATTAGTTAGCAGTGTTATAGTAGTTGATACAGGTTAAACACCCTGTAGACTATGCAGTTAATTTGTTATGAAGCCTTTAATACCTCCCTTCCTCTACAACATCTTCCATAAATATATTCGTGCAGAACTGTCTCATTCCCACCCTTCACAACAGAACATGATTATCAAAAATAGTCTTCCTCCCAGCTCCAAAGAACAGGTCCAGTGCTGTGAACAAATACAGCTGCCTCAGGACCACTTTATGATGCCTGACTACACCCAGAGATTGGGAAATGCTGAACTAATGAGATAGTTATGTATTAGAAAGCTCTTTATACCAGGCTAAACTGCATTCTTGCTGCTAGGTTTCCAGCATACGTGTGGGCTCTGTACACTCTCCAGATGGTTTGCTGTTCCCCAGCAAACCTGGGCTGAGGAGGCATAGGGGAGGGAGAACACCCTGAGAGCCTGGCTTGTTTTATCTCAGACTCTCCCAGACTGTTTGACAACTTACCATTCCTCAGTTGGGACTGTTCTCTGTGTCACCACTGGCCAGGGACTTCCTTCTTCGTTTCCTTTCCTCTAACTCGTGCTGATGGAGATGAAAGGGGGATGGGGGGAGGGGGGGGAGATGTATATGAGGTCACTTCGAGCTACTTCTGGGGGCAGACTCCACAGATGGGCAGGAGCTGGTGTCCTGCTCCAGCAGATAAAATGACAGAACAGCTGCAGAGCCTTCTTGGGACTCAACATGGTGTATTGAGAAGGGGATGCCCAGGCAAAGCCCCTAGCGTTGCTGAAACACCACCCACCCTGCACAACACAAATCAACAGGGAGAGCCTTCACCACCTACCCAGCATCCCTGCCACACCTTTCCTCCCTTGCCTAGTATTTGATGTCTCAGGACAAAAGCACATAGAAGCTGTCAGAAACATTCACCTGCCCCCTCCAGCATCAAAGAATATACTAATGCAGCCTGAACGTGGACAGACGAACTTGTCCATGGAGAGGGACCCCTTTAGATGGGGTGGGAGGGATACCAAAAGCCAAACTCCCTTGCAGCCCTGCCCTTTCCCATCCATTCTATCATCCCCCAGCCTCACCACTCACCTGACTCCTACTCCAAGATGGAAAAGGAGGGTTCTCTGTCTCTCCGTCTCCTTCTTGTCTATGTTCTATCATAGACATTCTATCATCCCCCAGCCTCACCACTCACCTGACTCCTACTCCAAGATGGAAAAGGAGGGTTCTCTGTCTGTCCGTCTCCTTCTTGTCTATGTTGCAGAATGGTGTGACTAGATGGGAGGTTGAGGGCTGGGCTGACAAAGGCAGTAGGCATGCTAAAGTCCAAAGGGCAGGGCTGTGGGCGAGGGGAAAGGAGGAACTTTGCAGCAGGTGAACTTTGAGACCTTTATTGTTGCTGCTGCACGTACAGGGACCTCAGCAAGCAAACGCTGGAGGAACAGAAACAGATTCTAAAGAGCTGTGCTGTTGTGGTTACCTGGGAGAAAGAAAACCTGGATCCTGTCCAAGTAGGAAGAAGCAAGAAAAGGAACAGAAACACACACTGCTCTGGGCATGGCATGGCAGAAGGAACCTCTGCAGTCTTCCAACAACACTAACCTTAACCCTCTGCCCCATCTTTTGCTAGTCATGAGAGCAGCTGTGCTGGGTCCGTCCCTCCCTCCCTCGTGAAGCTGACAGCTATAGGGATGTTAGTTGCTACCCTAAGGATGAGTGGTCTGATTTCCTGTTTTCAATTTTCTTTTTAATAGCTTGTGCAAAATACATCCAACCCATTTGACAAACCATGGCTCTCTCCTGCACACAGTTTTCCATCTTCTCAAACCACTGCCATCCTGTTCTCACCCCAACTATGGCCCAACTGATTTCCAAAAGGCCAAGGACTTCAGCAGCCTGAGGTAGCTGTAAGGTCAGGGAAGGATCACTGCAGACTGAAAAAATCTTGCATTTCAGTCACCATCTAGGAAAACACTGGAAATTGAACTGGACAACTAAAAGAGCAAGATGAATGACTCCTTATAGCTTAAGCAGAACAGCAGCTCTGGAGGCCACAGATGGAATAAGCTCACATCTTGCGTGGGGCAACCTAGAGAAGCTCACATACACAGACATACGAATTGGCTGCATTTGTACCACCTTTGCCAATTCTGAACTTCGTCTAGGGAAAGAAGGCTCCAGTCTCTGTGCTTCCTTCTTTTGACTACCTTTATGTCAGCCAGAGAGTGAAGGACACCTCGTTGCATTATTTCCAAGAAACCTTCTAAAGCCATCCCTGCCCTGGCCTCACCCAGTCACCAGCTCTCTCTGCCTAGGGCAGAAATAGCTCTTGCAGTACAACTGGTCCTGAGAAGAGTGTTGTTACCTGGTAGTGCTTCCTCCTTTGAATCAGAGGTCTGGAGATTAAAATCACGGTATTAAATTGCACCAAAGTCTTCTTCAGCCTTCTGTAACACTTCCTAGAGGGATGTGAAAAGAGAAGAATTGCTAATGAAGGAAACTTCAACGGAATTTAAGCATACGGTGGACTCAATTCGAGGGTATGGACCAAACAGAACATTAATAAAACCAGCCGGTCTGGATTTGGTCTTACTGTGTTAAAACCGGTCCTCTCACGTATTTTCCCTACATCCTTTACTCTAGCTGTCATAATATCAGCCTTAGTACAGGCAAGTTACTATAACAGTTTTGACAGCAGCTGTATTTCCCCTGGAACCTCTGCTCAGTGTTGGGAACCAGGCTGGGAAGTCCCTCCCCCACCATTCCAGTACCAGGATTCCCCCCAGCAGAGCAGGCCAGGAGCCAACATGAGGAGGGTCCTGGTCAGGCACATCCCCACCTTGATGTCCTAGGCAAGGACAAGGGCTGTACCTTGCCTGGTAACCTTGGAAGCGAGCCTGAATGATTGTGACTTTCAACTGGAGGACATGGAGGTGTCTGCAGCGAAGGAGGCATCAGAGGTTCCTTTGCAGGGTAACAATGGCCCAACTCTACCTCTAGTTCCATTGTCTCTCCAGAAGCTGCCTGGCCTTCTCCTTCAGAAAGACCTGGGAAAAGGGAACAGCTGCTGACCCACAAGGAAAGCAGCCAGCTTCTCTAAGAGTTGATCAATAATAAACGCTGCTGGTTTATCTCTTTGGAGCCTTTAAAGCTCCCTGCTATGGAAACTGCACTCCCTTAATTGGGGAGGGCAGGAGGCACAGGTGCAGGTGACAGAGATGGATGTATTTGTGGAGGACAGGGAATCAAGGAGTGATGGAGGTTAGAAGGCAGGGAAGGCAGAAGCCCAGATCTCCATCAAGGAATGCTGGGTGTCTCTTCTGTCTAGAAGAGTTGGCCATGCTACTACAACAGCCTGGAGCCAGAGTCCCCCGTTTCTTTATCTGAAATGCTAAAAATCCCTCCTTCATACTTGAGACAAGAGGCAAAGCAAAAGGGAGGTGAAGGCACGCAATCTCTCTTTGGGCAGAGAGCCAAGCTGCCCTCTGTCCATTGACAGCCAGTGAATAGATGGCTGGGCCTGTGCAATTAAGATGGGATTCTCTATAGGCATCACCTTTGTTACTCCAATCTGATAGAGATCTGAGGGGTTCCCCACCACATGAGACAGCACTGCCGCGCAGCCTTCTCTCTCCTCCAAGCAGTTCTGCCCTTGCCCAGCCAGGAGGCCATACCTGGAAGAGGAGATGTTGATAAGATGAAAGCCAGGGCTGTAACTGGAGTCCTCAGAGGAGAACAAATCACAATGTGCTGACAAGTTCATCCAGGCTTTGAGTGGCTGGGGAACCCCAAGCCAGTACACTACTGTACCTAGCTAGGAAGTTCTGGAATGAAAGATGGACTGGGTATCCCTCCTTTCTAATGTGGATGGCCTCCAGTATCCCAGAATGCCGCAGCTGACAAGTGACATACTCCACATCAAAGATATTTGATAGCTGTGAATATAAGGCAGAAGAAAAGTGTAAAACAAGAAATCGAGAAAGACAAAAGAAAGGAGACAAAGGGTAGAGAGTTTAGAAAGGGTCTCCTTCTATTGTCCTGTCCTTGGGTTAGATCTTGTCATGGTCTATGGGCAATGGAACACAAAACCCAACACATCCTTTGGTGTCCAGCTGACACTGGCTTCTTATCCTCCGGCATGTAGTCAGCTCACATGGCCACAGGGAAGGGCGAGAGACAGAGAAAGGGGAAGAAAAGTTTCAAGCTATCAAATGAAGCAAAGAAGTCCAAACCCCAGCTGCAAAAGGACAGCTGCTGGAGAGGACTGGACTTCAAGGAACTGAGGGACTCCATAAGGAGCTCAGGGCGCTGCCCTACCTTTTTGGGATTAGGGGTGATGCACTGAATGAAGAAGGCATGGCTCCTGCAAAATAGAAGGAAGAACCTTTAATTATCCTCCTCTCTGTGCTGACCTGGGAAGACTTCACACACTTCTGGGTGCAGCAATCGGCCTAGTGCAGGGATGGCACCTTAACAGCATCTCTCACTTTCTCAGCTTGGCTATGAGGTCCTGCAAAGACTGCTGGAATTTGGACACTAGCGTGGAGGCCTGAGCCCTTTGCCTCTGGCCCCCATCTCCCTTTGCCGACTATGGGCAGCTTTAGCCTTCTGGAAAAGACACCACCTGCAAAAACAAAAAAATGACCAAAGCTCCCTGAACGACATGGAAAGAACAAACTCTTCTATCTGAAACTGGGGGACCATTCTCCCTTGCCCCTAGCAGGGCCAGGAACCCAGCTGCATTCTCAGGCAGTCTATGTGTTTTATATATAAAATGCATCAATTGTGGGCAAAGACAACTTGCTCAATTCCCAAGAGTCCTTCAGTAGAACAAAACTCCTCACAGTTTCTCCAGGTTCTCCTGACACCTACCAGGATCTTTCTACTTCTCACATGAAGGCAATGAGTGGCTCATTAGGTGTCTGCAATAGAGATCTTCATCCTGAACCACTACAGTACCTTGAGGCGGCTCTGAGAGAAGAAATCCAGCACCTCTGGATGCAGCTGGTCATGGTTTAAGAAACTTGTGGACCTGCAGAGGCAAAGTCTGATTTAATGCACCATTCAGACCACCAACCAGACAGGCAAACACCCCTCTTACACACACCTTGACTTGGGGCAGACAGCTGGAGAGGTGGAACAAGGAGAAAGCCCTAGAGAATGAAGCTTGCTGTTCCTGCTGCCATCAGGAGTGGAGGGGACAATGACTTCTGCTTTTAGGAGGGACTGCTCCTTTTCCCCTTCACACTGCCCAGCAGGTTTTGACCCCTCACTTTCTTTCAGCAGCAACAGCTTTCCTGGATTTCCAGGGTTCTGAGACAAGCAGTGTAGGCTGTTGTGTACCTGAGGCCATTACCTATTTTGCTTCTGCCCAGAGGCAGCTTAGTTGCCTCTCCCAGTAAGAATCTTGGATGCACACCCCCACCTGTATATGCTCCATTGTTTTCAGCATTCATCAGAACACAGATTTTAACAGGAATCCTAAGTATAAAACTCACAGGCCTTGATGAGCACATATCACTCTAAGCCCCTGTTCTGCCTGTTATTTACTTACTGCAAGTCTGGGAAGCCCCCAGAAGCTCATTGGGGCAGAGACACGGGTGTATATCTGCCACAAGGGTAACAATTCCTGACCCAGAACTCTAGATGCTACCCTAACCTCAATTTCAAAAAGTAACACCTTGCAGGGCCTTTGCTTACAAAATTATCTGCACTTCTCTTATCCCTGGCCTCATCCAAAGCCGAGTGGATCAGGGAGAATCTCTTCAGAAATTTCAGTGGATTCTGGACTCAGGCTGGGAATAACAGAAAAGCAGGATATGCTGAAGCATGTGAAAAGAAATGAATTGTAAAAGATAGTATTAACATATTTCCAGCTTTATCCAAGTCTTCAGGAACAAATGGGAGCAGTTAGATTAAAACTACATTAAAAATGTTTTTCTTACTTCCGTTAGTAATAGCACCAGGAATAATTAAAATGTGATTCATTAAGAGTTAGCTCATTCAGCTCACCTCATCAGTACAGCAAATTTATACTAGGTGTTTTTCTGGGTTCAGTCCATCAGAACAGGCTGAAGAGTGATCTGGCTCCCCAAGCCACTGCTGAGCAGCAGAACACAGGCTGCAGGGAAAGGACTCTGAGCTGCTTTTTACAGGAATTTGCGTATAAGTGAACATTCTAAGAAACTTCTGGGGGTTTTGTCAAACATTCTTTAGGTGAAGACAGAATAGTCTTCAAAGGATATCATCTCAGTCAAGAATAACGTCCCCAGTCCCATCACATGGGATAACAGCAAGTTCAGCACAAATAGCCTATTCCCAAGCTGCCAAGGATTAGTGAACCTCGTAGGAGGTAAAGCAGATATTCCCCAGTTGCAGAATGGCGGCCAGGACAGCCCAGGTGGAGGTCAGCTGATCGTCCGAGAGGCTGATTCCCTCCAGAGCTTGCACCAAGAACCAGAAAGTCCTGACTCTCCTCCTTTCCCAGGATGTCACAGGCTCTGCCCTCAGAGAACAGGGACAGATAATCGTGGTCAGCCCCTTTTGCCCCAGGCTGGAACTGAGCTACCAGCAGCAATCTCCAGAGTAGTTCAATGTTTTAAGGACTGGAGGAATCCGAAATAAAAAGACCAAAGACACCACTAGTGGGAGCTCAGCATTCATGACAGACCGGTCTCTTTTCTCTCTGGAGTTTTTGAGAGTAAGCTCTCTCTTGCCCACACATGCTAAGTTTTGATTATGGTTCCAGTATAGGCACCCCAGCCACCCCCTGCCCACTGCTGAATTGCAGCTTGAGAGAAGAAGGGATGCCAGAACCTACTCCCAAGTAAGTCATGTCAGAGTTGCTACCCCAAATGGTACCAGAACCCGATGTAGCAAAGCAAATGGGTTTCTGTGCACCTAGAGAGCCATCCTGGGTTATAGTCTCACTCACCTCTGCCACAGAGCTTCACTGCAACACAGGCACATCGCTCTTACTCTTCTTGTGCTTTTCTCTACAAAAGGACACTCCTAACAACTGCCTGTGACCCTAAAGTTCACGGGGGGGCACAGAAAGGTGACGGCGGGGGGGGGGCGCAAAGAGGACGGGGGGGCACAACTCAAGACCTGA